CTTGTCGAGCTGATTCGAATGACATCAAAATCAACGAAATTGAAAAAGATTTGACAAAGTTATGACATAAGGTAATCCTTTGTGTCGGCGAGTTGTTTGTGCATAACGCTTCTCTTTTCGCAGGGTTTTTGTCTGTATCTCGGCCCAAAGTTAGGACCGGGGGTTAATTTTGGTGTCATTCGACACAGCTTAACGAGTTCTATAATCTGATAACAGACTGACCATTTTTAAATATTTTGAGGCTGGAAAATGGAGGGGGTAAACGAAATTCAATTTTACCTTTTTGCATATTCGGCGCCTCAAGTTATATAGTTTAGCAATTTATCCTTTAAATAAAAACAGATTTAATTAATTCGTTGATACTACAATATAATGCTACTTTGATTATCGATTGATCCTCTCTTCTTCTTTAAAAAGGCATAGGCTTCTCTTCAAAGCCTTCCCGTTGCGCACGCGACTAGCACGTGCACGTGCTATTCACGTGCACGTGACTAGCACGCGCAACAGCCAAAACCTATTGGAGGATTTTGCGGTAAAATTATTTATAAAATTAATATTCCCCCATCGGAGTCGAACCACCAACCTTCTGCCTGTAGGCGGACGCCTTATCCATTCGGCCCTCGCGAGTGTCACTAGTTTTCAAATTTAATGTAATATCTGTCGTCTCTTTCCCTCTGTTTCCACTGGAAACTTTAGTATCGATCGAACCCTCTGGTAAATGCCCACTAAGGAAGATAGAAAGAGAAAATAATGAGATAGTGCGCTGTAAGTAGGAGAGACAGCTCTGACTCAACCCGTCTGTTGGTAGAGTCTGGCAGGAGAATCTTCTCTAACCCAGTGGTTAGAGAAAAGAAAAATAGTGTGGCAGCTGGATGGCTGTCACAGCCACCCAGCTGCAGAGAAGAGAGAGTGTGTACTCTCCTAAGAAAGCACACTCTCTCTCTTCTAATAGCCCACAGAGGGAAAAATGCTACGACAATTGGCAACAGCACTATAAAATCACATTTGACCAACACCAAGTAAAGCCACATTTGGCCACTACCCTAAAAACCACATTCGGCCAACACCCAGTAAAACACATTTGGCCACTAACCTGAAAAACATGTTTGGCCAACTTTCCTAAATACCACACTTGGCCAACTAACCTGAAAACCACCGTTGGCCAACTAACCTATAAAACCACATTTGGCATTTTCCTAAAAACCCTCATATGGCCAACTACTACAGCTACATCGTTTGGCCGTTTTCCTATAAACTTCCATTTAATCGAGTACCCTATAACCCCTCATTTGATCTAACTATTACTAATTTATTATTTTTCTTCATTGTTTTTGGGTCCTGTGTAGAAACACTAACAAGGGGAAAATTTTGAACAATATCCTCTGCCTCACTATTTGTTAAATAGCCGCGGTTCCGCAAATATCTTATTGTTGAGACCCAACAAATGATTAGGATTGGTAATAAAAGTGAATATAATAATAGAATAATGGGAAATCCTGTACTTATAGTTTGTCCTTTTTTACCCTCTAAATATTCTCTGTCAAGGGATAAAAAATCGTAAGGAATGTAGCTTGTATTGTTCATTGTTGATACAAAAATTTGGAGAACAGTTATTTATTAACCTAATGTAGAGTCAGAAACAATATGTCTATTATATTCAATCATTAACAATTGGTCAAACTCGCCCATAATAATCATTTCAACACCACCTGCTGGAATTGGAGAATTAAATTCAAGGCGAACACTAGTTGTTCCGCTACGAAGCAACTCAAATCCACAAGAATCATCTAAAGTAGATGTTAGGGGAACAACAAAAAAAGTCCAGCCCGATTTAAATTGGGCCATTGAAATGTCAAAGGACCTATCTGAATTGGCCATCCCCAATGCTTCATACATGTCAACATAAGCCCTTACGAAAATATCTTCGTCAAATTTAAGCTTATAAGAGACCATTGGATAGATCTGGCCGCCTGTATGAACCGAAATATCTCTCAAATTGAAGGGTTTAAAATTAAACGGTGAAAGATTAATATCTCCGTTAAAGGCAGCATTTGCAACAAGTGCAACGGTAATTCTTCTAGGAATTGTTGAACTAAATGCATTGTATTCAATCTCGGTTCTCCCAGGACTGAGGAAAGTGGACTTCAGCTCAGTTCGTCTCACTGCATAAGTAGCCGGCTTTGTTTCTAGGGTTTTGTAAATACTCATGTTAAGTGAAGGTTGAACCTCAATCATTTTAGCTAATAATTTAACATCGTGGACAAAAATTCTATACTGATTCTCATCCGCAGGATTTAATTTATGTAAAACAAAAGCATCTCTGGAGCGATAGATACTAAAGTGTATATCGAGATTGTTGAGTAAAAATAATTCCTGATTTCCCAAATCAAAATCTAAGCGAGAAAGGAACTGTGCTCGCTTTCCTTCTTTAAAAATTGAGCAACGTTCTAGAAAACCGTGATCAGTAATATCATCATGTTTAATACTCAACCGATAGCCAATGGAAGAAAGAAAATTTGTTTTTACATTTTCAGGAAATGAGAGTTCATTTGTTAAATATGATTTATAAGGATAAAGAGTTCCACTATCATAAACCTCTGTATTACCTACGGTAACTTTAAGTTGTTGAACAAACGTCTGCCCGATTCCTTGTATTGATCCAATACCAGTATCAGTTGCCAAAATACGTGTCCATTTTCCTCCTGCTTCCTGTTTTTCAATAGAAAGCTCAAGGTGAAGATATGTGCGACTCAAGTCTGTCCAGAGATTATCACTAAACAAGCGAAATAGATAGGGAGAGTCTTGTGTTATTGTACTTAGTGGAAGAATTTCACGAAAGAAGGAACGAATAACAGATACATTTGTGGGAGGAACAGAAAAAATGCTTAAAGCACTGTTGAGAGCCAGGGGGCTGTTCTCATTAATCTTCTTGGAACAACTCATTTTAATAAGGTCCTAATGCGTCTATGCGTAAACGTTTCTTTGGACGTGATGTTTTCCTTTTTGAAAAAGTAGGAATAAAATTTGGTGGGCCAATTTTAGAATAACAAGTCTTATTTATATTTTCGTTATTTATTTGCCCCATTTTCTTGGGACGAATTTCCTTTTGTCTTTTGAATTCAAAACCATTTCCTTTTTGCTTCTCAATATTATTGGCTGCTTTTTCTAACAAAATTTTCAGTCCCGATTTACCCTCATTTACGAAAGATTCTCTAAGATCTCTCCCTTCCAATACATCACTTAAGACACGATTGCCTGATTCCAGCCCTTGACGACCAAGCGCTGTGCCAATTTCTTTTCCAATTGGAATCAAATACCTTAGCAAACTTCGAAAAACAGAACCTAAACCGCTACCCCTTTGGAAGGGAACTCCACGAAAAACGTTATAACCACCCCATTGGTCATGAGATTCGGTCAACGATGACCAATCAACATAGAGAGGATTAAAGTCAGTATGCATTGTAATGTACAAAATTTGCTCTTTCAATTATTTATATTAAAAGCTTTAGTAGCAATAAACTGCGAGACAAATCTATCAGCATTTACCCTGCTTAAAATTAAAATAATATTTTCCATGGAAACACCTGAACAACGCATAAACAAGAAAAATATTGCGTATTTACCACAAGTGCGCCCCATTGGCTTCTGTATTTGAATTCTATTATAGGAAACTTTTGTAAAATTTGATAAATATTTTTTAATATAAAAGCTAAATGGAGGCCAGAATCCTAACGAGTCAAAGTAATCAGCACTAGAGAGAGAGGAGCAAAATATAGCTATCCAATGCGAGCCTGGGAGCATTGAAGGGTCAGTATTGACAACCATACAAACGGGAAAGGTAGATATTGTAAGAGGAATCCTATCAGATGCAAAGCAGCCAATATAAAACTTTTTTGTAATAGCATTCCTTCTAAGGATTTTGTCAATTTGTATCGTATTCATTAAAAGTAGGCAGATTTTTTAAAGTGGAGAGTTAAAGTACAAGTTCCGTATTGGAATGGCATAAGTACCCCACCAGCCGTGCGTATTTCAATAAGTATTTCGGCAATTTCTTTAACAAGTAATTTATGATATTGCACAGAAAGAAATTGTTCCTCAATAATTTCATCCTGCTTGCCCCGAATTGTCACAATACGAAGTACAGGAGCTGTAACATCACCAATCACCATTGGTTCAATTAATCTTGGGGCATAAACATGAAAGCAAGAGACACCTCCACTCATATCTGGCATGAATTTTGCAATAGTTGATTCATTCATATCAGTTTTGTCAAATCCTAGAATATAAGCTAATTGTTCTGTAATCTCAACTTTCTTTACATATTTTTTACCTAAAAATAGAGAAAAACGATTCTTATATGAATGAAAATCAAAGGCACATGCAATTGCTGGTTTCCGATAAACTTGAAGCCATGGTTCGAAGCCAGAATCTCTGGTTAATGATACTAATTTTTTAGTATTTTCATCAAGACTCGAGTTAAAATCCCTTAACATCTCCTCATAAATTTCATTTTCAGTCTTGAGATCACCCTCTTGTATTTCAGTTGCATTTAATTCTATTCGCTTCTCCTCTTTTTGTTTATTATACACTTCTTTTGATTTCGTTTTAAGTTCCTTTAATTGTTTCTTGTATTTAATTTCAGTAACCCGTAAATTTTCAGCAAAATTTTCACACCCTTCGCTTAAAGACCTATCCAAACTTTCCTTGAGTTGTTGGGGATTAGTCAGATTACCAGAGGGAACGGCTACTCTAACAATTTCCCCACTTTGCCATGTTACAGTCACAAATTGATCAGTACTAGTCCCTATTGAAGGCCAGGAGTGGGGGTAGACCATAACGGTCAAGCCAACGTACCACTCCGAATTAAATTGTAGCTTACGAGGGAGGCGGACTCTAAAGGAGTTTGTCCTGTTTCCATCAACATTTGTGTTTGAAGGGAGGATGATATAGAAAGAAGTCATTTTAACAAAATCGGTAAGATGACATAATATTTATATCATTTCCAAGTTATTACACTAGCAGGAATCCACCTATTATGTTCGTTACCTTATCCTTTGAATTTTACAAATATCTGCTCCTCTCTGTTATGTCTTCGCTTATCCAAAACCTTTTCCACAATATATTTACTTTCTTTTAATCTTTTTCTAACTAGAACTAAATCATTAGCATAAAACCAGCCACGAATTAAAGCTCCTTCCCTATCGCGAATTCTATAGGTGGGAGGTTGATGCGGAACCAATCGGACTTTAGCAACAATAAAGATTTCATTTGTAAAATTTGGCAAATATCCCTTTTTGAACACTTGCTTATACTTTTCCACTCTTACAGGGTCCCCTAAATTAAACCTATTTTCTTTCCAGCGTGTCGGTCCATGTTGCTCAACTGCCTTTTCTTTTAGGGATTTTCGCAAGGATTCAGCGTTCTCATAAGTAACATCTATAGGACGCATCCCAATACTTAAATTGAAGGAATTGTTTATAGAATTTACAATATCTTGAATAACATCCACCCATTGTAATGTTTTGTTTTCAGTAAAATAACGGTATAATCGCTCTTTAATGCTACGATTGGCTCTTTCAGCCATACCTGCATGCCATATAGGAGAAGTAATCATAGAGAAATGTTCCATATTTAATGCTTTGAAATATTTTTGTACTGGAGTTGCAGTAAATTCTAGTCCTTGATCAGTCAAAAGTTTCCAAGGAACAATTTTTACTCTAGCAAATAGCTTCTTAAAGGCATTAATCATATTCTTGCTGTGTTTACTTTTGACAGGTTCTACAAATATTTGGCGGCTAAGTGTATCTATACAGACTAAGAGATAGTTAAAACCTCTATTCTTGCTGCTTATACGATTAAATACACTGAGATCAGCCTGCCATTCAGTATGCAAACCCGGAGCAAGTGTTGGCATTCGCTTAAATTTTCTCACAACCCTCCTATGGAGAGTATAGACATTTTGCCCTGCAAGATAGTTTTTAACATCTTGTCTTGTGATGCCTTTGTTAAACCGTTTAGCTTCTCGCAATAGAGGTTCAACAGAAGTGAAACATGTAGGAGATTTTACATTTTTGTACAAATTATTTAGAAGCTTGGTCTTTTCCATAAAGACGGCTTAAAACAGAATACACCAGAACCTTTTTGCTTACTTATAGATTCTGGGAATAAAATTTGCAGTAAAATAGGATGATCGTTTATTCTTTTAATAAATTCGTCGTAACCTGTAGGTAATTTCTTTGTACGAATCCCTTTATTTCTAATTATATGCTTTACAATTTCCTCAACATTACTTGTAATTAATGGATAATCATTACCAATCTTTCTTGCAAGTCTTCCATCTTCCAGAATGCCTAGAATATCAGCATTTTCTCTTAAATATTCCATTGCTTGATCTTCTGGATCGGCAAAGCTTTCAGCTGACTGATATTCTTCGCCTTCATCCTTACCCTCCTCTTCTTCCTCTTCTTCATCATCATTAACATCTCCCTCCTCCTCTTCCTTTTTCTCTTCAATTTTTATTGGAATGAATTTTCTTTTTCCTATTTTCTTCTTTACCTTCTTTCTCAAAACTATTCCCGAACTAACACCTAAATTTTCAGAAAAATTTTTTACATTTACATTTATTGGTTTTTCCTCTTTTTCTTTTAAAAGTTTTTTAAATCTTTTAAAATTCTGCTCATAATTAATTGCTTGAGAATAGCGATCCACTCTCGCATTATTAGTAACAACATTTTTTAAACGATTTCTAATTAAACCAATAGCAGTTCCATCCCCCTCTTCTTCATTTTTCTCTATAAGAGAATTGTAAAAATCTTCAGGAATAAGAAACATTCGTTTCATTTTTTCCATTTTTCTATTATTTTTTCATATTTATATTATTTACTTTTTCAACAATTAACGGGATAACAAGACTTGCAATAAGTCCAGCCAAAGGAGGTATACCTTTACCCTGTTGCAACAAATTTCTTGTTGAGGCGGCGGTCTTAGACCGACTAATTTTACGTAAAATGCTTGCATTTCTTTGAAGGGTTGTTATTCTGTTTTTATGAAAAGGAAGACGGCCCTTTAGTAAATTTAGACAAATTTCAACAAAACATAATAATTGTTCATCAGTCGCTTTCTTCAAAAGACTTCTCAATACTTTTTTTGAATTTGTATTTGCTGACTGTAAAAAGCCAACATTCCTTTCTATTAAATCGCTAGTTTTTGTCATTTTGGAACATAAACTACTGTTAGCTTTTCATTGTATATATGTGTTCTGAGACGAAGCTTTTCGGGTGTACTTGGGTGAAGATCAACTAATAAATAACCAAACATTTCATTTGTCGCGTCAGCATGCGATTCTAAAAAGTATTTTGACCTTGAGGGGAATAATTGGGTAGCAAGGTTTTTAATCTGTAGGGAACCAGCGGGATTCCTCATCAAGACCAAATAATGTGAATTATTACGCGGGATTCTTAATTCTTTGCAAAATAAATGTTGTGTTAACAGTATAACACTCATTTTCCAGTTATGCGAGCCTCTTGTGAATATTGTTTCCAATATAACTGGATCAATTCCCACCATTAAATCGTCGAGTACAAGTAGCATTCCATTAGCATGCATTTTAATAAAATCTTCGCTCGGCATTCCAGCGTGAACAGTAACACCTATATCTCCCACCAAGCCTTTACGCTGCATTTGTATTATATTTGAGTTCAACTCCCCATAACAATAAAGTATCATTGAAATTGTTTCACTTGTCATTTCTTTTAGATTATTCAAAAGCTTTTTTACCCATTCTGATTTACCAGACCCAGTACTTCCTGACACAATCATCGTGAAAGGGTGCTTAAATATTGTGTGAATAAAATCAACGTGTTCAAATCCGTTCATTTTAAAAGGTACAATTCAATCATTTTTAAAGTATATATAGATCCCAAAATTGTACTTGCTATTCAGAAATATGGAATTTCTTACGCTTATGATTTGGGGTGTGGAAGATGGTGTGCCATTTGTTCCTGAGCCTGCCCACCCTGAGCCTGAATTAGTCATTGTTGACGAAGAACCGGAGGTTTCATTTTTATTTTAAGCTCCAATTGATTTAAATTTTTAGCTACCGCCAATTGATGTTCCTCTTGAAAAGAAGGTTAAGGAAGAAAAGGTTTTAATCTTTATTTAAAAAAATACAATTAATTTTAATTACAGCCACCTACACCGGCATTTGGTGTTCCTGCTGAAGTAGAGGTCAAAGAAGAAACGGAGTCAGAAGATATTGACGAGGCTATAATTGACATGAGCGACAAGCTACTACGCATAACTATAGACGAACCTTTGGATTGGACTGTCGAATATCCATTTCGTGAACCTACTCCGCCACCTCCAACGGAATCAGTTCCACTAATTGAATATTTGTGCAAGTTGAAGAATTGTTCTCTCAAAGAACTCCATATTCTCTTTCATAATCTAGATGAGCGCCGAGAAATAATTAATCATCTTCGCCGAAATGTTGAATTACGTACTTGTCATCTCAATCCTTGCTGCAAAAACTTTATTGTTCACTGCAATGATCTGACAGTTCGATCGGCAAGTGTGGTCCATGCTATGGGTGGATATTTGAGCATAACGGTAAATATCTATTAAACTACTTTAAAAAAATTTTATATTCAGGTCCGTGGATACTACTACATCAAACACAAAGTCAAACTGGAGCATCCATATTTGCCTTGTGTCATTGAATTTGGAGGAGGCCGTCACCGTTCATATTACCCATTGGAAGTTCTTTCTGTGACTGAGAATAAGATGAAAAGATGTCATTGATATTTTATTCAATTTTTATTTTTTAAATTGTTATTCAAAATAAATATTATGAAAATAGAAAATTCTAGAGCAGTATTCAAACTTTTACCTAGCAAATTTGGGGTTTTCTCATGAAAATTTTATTCAACTAGCTCGATTTGGAATAAATACAAGTATAATCCCAATCGTTGTAGCTGTAGCAGTTGGTCAAATGTGGTTTAGGGAGAACCGTCAAATGTAATTTTAGGAGTAGTTGGGCAAGTGTGGTATTTAGGAGAGTTGGCCAAACTTGTTTTTCAGGTTAGTGGGCAACTGTGGTTTTACTGGGTGTTGGCCAAATGTGATTTTATAGTGCAGTTGCCAATTGTCGTAGCATTTTTCCTTCTGGAAAAAATAGAAGAGAGAGAGTGTGCTTTCTTAGGAGAGTACACACTCTCTCTTCTCCTGTAGCTGGGTGGCTATAGTTAGCGACAGCCATCCAACACTATTTTCTCTTCTCTAAACACTTGGTTAGAGAAGATTCTCCTGCGAAGACTCTACCAACAGACGGGTTGAGTCAGAGCTGTCTCTCCTACTTACAGCGCACTATCTCATTATTTTCTCTTTCTATCTTCCTTAGTGGGCATTTATTAGAGGATTCGATCGATACTAAAGTTTCCAGTGGAAATAGAGGGAAAGAGACGACAGATATTACAATTAAATTGAGATCTAGTAACACTCGCGAGCGGCCGAATGGATAAGGCGTCCGCCTACAGGCAGAAGGTTGGGGGTTCGACTCCGATTGGGGAATATTAATTTTAATAAGAATTTTAGAAGGTTGGGGTGGCTGGGAAAAAATTTTACCGCAAAATCCTTCACAAGGTTTTAGTTGTTGCACGTGCTAGTCACGTGACTAGCACGTGACGTGATAGTCGCGCGCGCGTGCGTGTCGCGCGCGAAGGGAAGGCTTTGAAGAGAAGCCTATGCCTTTTTGAAAGAGAAGAGGGAAAAAATCGATAATCAAAGTAGCATTATTTTGTAGTGTTGATAAATACATGGGATGGGGAATTATTCGAGTTTTGACACTTGAACGTGCAGTAGGGTATTTGGGGGTGGGGAATTATTGTTTCAACCCAACTCTAGCATGGGGAATTAATCGAGAGGGCGAATTAATCGAGAAAATACGGTATGTAATTATTTAGTTATATTGTTTGTACTGTTGCATTACATAATTTTGGCCAAGCAGCAATTTCTCGATCCTTACGTTTTAAAACACGTTCTTGGTGGTTTGATGAAGAAAATATAGAAAAAGAATTATTAAATAAAGATGAACAACAATTATTTTTAGACAAAATTAGATGTAACAATTTCCTTTTACCTCCAAAATGGCAAAAAAGAGAAAGAAAGTAATTAAAAATTATGTAAATTAATTTTTAATATTTAAATTAGGCCAAGTCTTCGAGAACCGAGTATTGGTGTAAGCAGTGGAGGAGCAACTAGAAGGAGTAGTTTACAAAGCGGGGAATATCAAGATAGAAGTTAATAGTATTTTGAATAATTTTTAAAAGCGATATAGTACATTAATCCATAATAGGGTAATAGAGACAATGATTCTAGAATTGTAATTTGTCAGGAACTTTTAATAATAATAAAACAAAATTATTTAAGAATAATAAGTTTAGGGTTTATAAAAGCAGAAATAAAAACTAATTAAATAAAAATTATTTCCAAAAAAAAATTAAATGTTAACAGTTAAAAATTTAAAAAATATTGAAATTAATTTATTATTTATTTCTTTAGTTTTGCCAAAAATTCATTTTCGTCAAAAGGTTTTCCATTAAAATAAATTATAAAATTTCTTCCGTTTTACTTTTCTTCACTAAAAATATTTTCAATTTCATTTTTTGTTGATGATCGTCTAATTTGTTTTACTTACATTTCAATGAAGAAAAATACTTTTTTTCAACTTTAAATAAAAATTTAATTTGAGTTTTTGGTTTATTCTCTTCAATTGAGGTTTTAACAGTCTTCTTTTATTCTTTTGATGTTTTTTGACTTACTTTTTTATTTTCTACTTTTGGAGTTGTTTTGATTGTTTCACTCCTTTTACTTTCTTTCTTTGTATTTTTTGCTTCAATCTTAGTTTCATTTTTATTTTTCCTAGACTTATTCTTCTTGGACGTTATTTTTATTTGATAATTTTGTAATTGGTTGAATTACCGGAGGTTTTTGGTTGTTCATAAACGGAGTAGTAAAAAGTTTTCTTTCTTAAAACCTTTAGGAATTGGCACACCTTCACGTAAAGGGTTGGACAGTTTTTTGTACTCAAAAATTGTCATAGCGGGTTTTTGATCTAAAATTAATTTTTCGAGATTATTTATTTTTCGTTCCTCTCATTTTAGTCTCAAAGCTAAAGATCGGGCATATGATTAAAGACTTCTTGTCTCAATTTGTGTTTCATTTGCCTGCTTTTGGATTATTAACTCTGTTTAGTCTTATCTAAGCTTGATAAAGCATTTGGAAATTGCGCAACCGAGGAACTAAAGAAATAAATATTATAAATATACTTTAAAATATTAATTCACCATCAAAACAAAAATCACTACAAATGTATCCAATCCAACCATTATCACAAAAGCATATTCTCCCTCTTTACTTCGTGGCACCTCTGTTGAACTATTAAAAAACGTCCAATTTACAAAACCCGTAATTATAAGCGCTGAAAATAGATAAGCGCTGAAAATAGATTTTTTAAGTGCATTGAAATGCAAAATGCTCAGTGAAAACAAGAAATTATTAGAAAGATACATTTAGAAGAGAAATATGTATAAAAGATTTGAGCACGAATAAATATTATCTAATTTAATTCACTTGATGGTGCTTCTTGACTGATGTTGCTGTCATGTTCTTTCCAGTCATCATAGAAGTTTGATGCTCTGACAGTTCCATTTGTCAAACCAGCACTCCATTTTCATATTCTGCCTCGGGGTCTGTCATCGCCTCAATGTAGCTGGTGTCACTGCCACAATCGTTTCCAAAGCCTTCTTCATGAAGCGGCGCCAGATTCCACCTGCAGTCCAAAGCATTTTGAAGTCGTAGATCACAATCACTCCAAACTTTCCTGAGTTCTCTCCTTCAGCATCCACTTTAGAACTATTACGAGTTCCAACAGCATGGCCAACAGAAGTAGACCCTCCTCGCCCATCTCGAAAACTACCTAAATATTAATAAACTGTTTATATTCTATAAATATAAGGAATAATTATGGATAAGATTATAGGTGAATGTCCAGTTGGCGATGACTTTGAATATAATTTCTAAGCGATAAGCGATAAAAGGCATATTATACCTAAGAGAAAAATGAGCGAGACAAACAAAAATTCACTTGAATTTTTGTTTGTCACTTGAATTTTTGTTGCGAGACAAACAAAAATTCACTTGAATTTTTGTTTGTCTCCATATTTCTTTAGTAAATCAGGACATTTAGAATTTTCATGGCTAACAAAATTATCAACAAAAATTCAAGGGAATTTTTCTTCGTCCAATTATATTCAAATTCAGGTATTGTCTTAAAATTTTAAATAAATCCTAATAATATTTCATTCCACAAACCTCTGTTAGGCATACTCTCTCCACGCATTGCCTCTTGAACTCACAATGTTAAATGTTCATCAACATGTGCAAATTTACATCCTTCCCCGAAATTACATGTTCCTGTCCATTTAGAGAATTGACAACTTCCAGCATCTGAAAAATATTTTTTGAAAAAATAATCTCTAAAGTAGTCCAAAATTTCTGACTTTCTTTGGCTTCTTCAAGAGTAATTTGACGAAGTAGAAGATTTGATTGTTGTTGCTGTTGATTTATCATAATATTCGGAGAAGAAGAAAATGGCTGATGAGTAGATTGAGAAAGAGAGAGAGAACCTCCTTTATCTAAACCAGGCGGACCATGAGAAATTTGTCGTCGCTGTCCTTCGGCGGTTTCAGATTTTTCTGTAATTTTTATTAAATGATTTTTCATTGATGATGTTTAAATAACCGCAATATTTTTATTTTTAATTAAGTATATTTAATATTTTGTTAATTTAAATATATTTAGTATTACCATCCAGCTTCTCTATTGTAGACGGAAGAACATTTGTTTGATTGAATTTTGTTGTTATACACCATCTACAAGCATTGTTTGACCTGAAGGTGGAATTGTAGCATACGGCATCGTCATTCTATCAGGAAGAGAAGTATATTAAAAGTACCTCCAGGTGGATGGCCAATTGGAAGATGAAGAGAAGAATAGAGAGGTGTGAAGTCAAAGATGTTTTCGTCTGTTGCAACCTGTGAGGAAAAAAAAATTTGTAAAATTTTTTAATATTCGACTGTTTCTCCGATATATTCGACTGTTTCTCCTTGAACTTTGCCAGTTTGCGTCGAATTTATGGAAGTAGAAGTGGAAGAAGTAATGGTTGAACATATAAATTAGAACTATTTTGACAAAAGAAATATTTAAATATCCCCACTCTGCAAATTATGTAAAGTGGATCCAGAACGAAATTGTACTCTATGTTCTCTCTCATTGCAAATTGTTGAAAAGTAGAAGCAGAAGAATCAGCATCCGATGAACTAATTTAATAAATTTAAATGGATATTTTAAAATAAAAACAAACTTGAAACGTGTTTGTTTCCATTTTTCGGTGTATAAACATAAACTCGTTCTTTATCAGCTTTAGCATCTTGGTAGTGTTGATACTCTGACATCTTAAAAGAAAAAGCCGTAAAACATTCAATTGTTATCATGTTTAAAAACAAACCAAATCGTTCACATTAGATTCAGCCTCAGTAAATTCACTTTCTTCCGTTCCTTCGACAAATTTGCCTTACGTCGAAATTTGTCTTAAAATTGAATTTTTAGCAAAGTTTCGCTATAAAAGGTCAGGGGTTTGATCGGGCCGGATCCAACCTAATAAAACTCCTTTTTACCACCTTATGAGTTAAATTATCAAAGAACCAAACTAAATAGTAAGAAAAAAACTCGCTGGCTGTACTTTAGTACGTGGGTCCCGGAGTTAATATACAAATGTTATACCATTCGAAAGAGCTAGTCGAGCTGAGTCGAATGCCACCAGTTTTAGCTCTAGGAAAAATTTTTGAACCGAGATACAGGCGATTGAAAATCGAAAAACCATAGGGGGGACCAAGCACTTTTTTGGGGTGAAAAATTCGAAAATGCAAATTATACCTCATTCGAAAGAGCTCATCGAGCTGAGTCGAATGACACCAAAATCAACGAAATCTGACTTGATTTGACAAAGTTATGATCTTTTCTTTTAGCTCCTTACCTATGGCATTTGTGGAGGTTTTTGCTGCTACGGAGGCACCAAATACGTCCAGAGCAAGGGAGATAGGGATAGGTCTATGTTACGAG